ATCCAATCTGGCTGCTTTTCAGGGAAGTGTTTGTCCAGGAGAACATGGCACAAACACCACGGTACAGTTCCAGGAGTGCAACCCCAAACTTCCTGCAGAGCTGCTGCCCAGCACACGTACAGGTTTTGTCCTGTACGGGAATGACAGCCAACATCTGCATTTCTCCCAGCTTTAGTGTCTCAAATGCTTTCCACCTGTAAAAAGTGGGAAGTTGGGAATCCCCAGCTGGGCAGGTGGCCAGGTGACACAGGGGGACTTGTCACTGCACCCCTCTCCCACCAAAGGGCCACTTACCTGCGCTGGCAGCACCTGGTGAGGAATGTCCAGAAAGATCCGGGAGCTTTGACCTCGTACATGATACACTGACTCATCTGTGTGCATCCAGGGGATCCCAGGGACAGCGTGGATCCTGCCCATGCAGCTCTGAGTGCTAGTTTGTCCTTTGGGACAGTGTCCTCTCCTGCCACCTCACACACACAGAGCCAGGGGGCTGAGGGGGCCTGGGCTGTGTCCCCTCCAGCACACAGGATGGGTAGATGGGTGCTGGGCCTTGAGGTAAGGAATGTGTCCAGGTTTTCAGGGAAAAAGGTGGGCTCTGTTCATTGCAAACTCACCTGGGTTTAGGAATCATTTTGTGAGTGTCTGGGAGCAGTGCTCAAAGCAGCCTCATAGCGGGGACGTGGAAGGAAGCCAAGATTCCTCATGGGAATAACGTTTGGTGTGGCCTAAAATGGGACCCTCCCTGTGGGAGAGCAGAGGTGCCAGCTCCTGCTTCCACTCTCAGGAGTGTCCAGCCCACCTGAAGCAGGAATCCCACCTGTGGTCACACTGATTTCATAGAGAGCTGCCCAAAGGTAAGTGTTGGCTTTAAAAAGGAGGGGTTTTAATAGGTGAGTTGGTGTCTGTTTGAGGCTGGATGAATCCAGGTGCCCAGCTCGGAAATTTCCAAACCTCAGCCCGATCCAATTCCATGTGGAACAGCTCTGGGGGTCACTTTTGCCCAGTGTGGAGTGGTGAGCCCCGAGGTGCCGTGCAGGAGGGTGCTGGACCCGAACTGTCCTGTAGAGGGACATCCTGCCACATCCCTGGGGATGCAGAGGAGCTCTGGGAAGTGGGAAGGGACCATGGCCTGCTCTTTTCCAGCTGTGCCCGGAGGAAGAGCCAGGAAGCCTGATGGAAAGGAGCCTTGGCTGCTCTCCCACCCAGGCAGTGTTTGGTACAGTAAAACTTTTTGTGTTTTCTCCCTGGAAATGAACTTGTACCAGGAAATCACGGGAGCATCTCCAGTGCTGCCCTCCCTGGATCGTTCCAGAGCAGGGAGCAGCAGCCAGCCCTGAGCTGGCCCCGGGGCTGGATGTGGGTGTCCCTGGGAATTACAGGGTCTCTGGAATGTCACACTGCTCCATGGCCTCTGACCCCACCTTTTCTCAGGTCGTGTGGGTGTTTTTTCCCCATAAAATCGCAATTATTCCATTTTCTGCGAGGAAAGTGTTTCTCCTGCTATCTGAAATTGCTCCTTGGTGCCCTGGAAGTCGCCTGGCATTAAGGTCAGGTGGCAGAAGCCATGGATATGAGGGAAAGGGAAGATCCCACAGGGAGATGCGAAGGCACAATCTTTCCAATGGCGGTGGTGTGGTGGGCATGGAGCCACACTGTCCGAGGGGCTTTTGGGACCAGATCCCAAAAGGTTCCACTTTCTGCTGCAGAGGGAGAGGGATCTGATAGTTTTTCTTAGAAAGAACCAAAGCCAAGTCCTGGCTGGACAGCACCAGGTGTCCCCATGGCAGGAGGGACACAGCTCGAGCTGTTTGAGATGAGGGAGACCCCAAGGATTCGGCTTTGGGGTGGAGATCAGAGACCCCAAGGGGCTCTGCAGCCCTTGAGGGACACGGGGAGGGGACATGGGGAGAAACACTCGTTGGGGTCCATAGGGAGAAGCAGCTGGAGCTGCACTGGGATGGACCGGGGAGTCCCTGGGAGGGGGGATTTGGGGGAGCCTGGTATGGCCAAGCACACAGCAGAGGGTCTCTGGTGTGGGAAGGGGGATCTGGCGTTGTCCTGCCTCACTCCTGGCTGGGATTTGGGGTGCGTTTGTAGGGATTTGGGGTAAATTTTGTAGGTTTTTTTTTTTTAATGGCAGCTTCCTCAGGAAGGCTGTGAGCCTGTCAGGCAAACCAGAGCGAGAGCCCCCCGGGGTGCCCGGGC